ATTCAAGCATTCCTAAGACACTTCCCAGCGCTCGACCGCTCGTGAAGGACACGAGATCCGACTTCTTCACGGGAAACGGATACTCGAGTGAAGCCATTATCTTCGGTATCTCGACGTCCATCGGAACTATCTTTCCTCGGATGCCATAGCAGTTGAAGAGGAACTCAAAGACATTTGCGATCTTTTTGACTGTCGGACGGCTGCCGAAGGTCTTCGATATAGGACTCGGGTATTGATTTTCGGTCAAAAACGCCACCACTTTTGCCACACACTGGCGATGGTATGACATCTCACTGAGCGGTCGGCTGTCCTTCACGTGTCCACGACTGCCGCCAATAAAAACGCTCGCCGAAGCACTTATAAATCTAATAAAATTAAATTAAAATTAATTAAATTATAAATTTTAATTAAAATTAAACCTTAGAGATAATTTTGACACCATTTCAGGCCTTAATGTGAAAATGTGTTCACAATTCTGTACACATTTTTATGACAGTATTGAAAGCATATCTAACGCTAATACACAGTACTGTACAGTACTGTCAGTGATTGTGGTGAACGTGTTATTCATTCATTCAAAACATTTACACTTAAATCTCATTATAATTATAATTTGCTGTTAATTACGACAATAAACACGTGTTTTAATCACTCCTTAAAAGACATTCAATTGTTTTTATCGACAAATATTAAACTCATTTCATTTGTTACCCGATTTTGCCGGCGATAACCAAATGTAAGTTATGTTTCATTTTTATTTCTAAATTAAAAACTTTTAATTATGGTTACAATTGTGTTAAAAATGTGTACAATTGCATCAAAACTGTAATCATTGGTTAGTTTGCGGTCATGTCTTCATTTATTACCACGTTTTTAATTGTCTTATATTTATTTACATCAAAACAAGTATTTAGTTAACTTTTTTGCTAATAAGTTAGTGTTTAAACGCTTTTAAAGTATAAGACATTAAACTTTTTAAATCAAAAGCATTTTATTCTCCGATAATATCGTTTCAAAATTACATATTTTTAAATAACTCTTTAGTTTATTATTAAATCATAAAAATGAGAAACAAAACTACATTTAAATGTTTGTTAAGTAATATTTAAATATATAATAATATTTCTTGAGATAAAGTATTACACAATTCATTAAAATATAGTCACAATATAATTGAGTAGAAAATAAAGTTTGTGTGAATTTTAAAACTAATTTAATGTGATTTTTACCACAATTTGTATTACATTTGAAAAGTTTTTCATTCAAATGAAAACAACACTTGAGTTGAAATGAATGAAGTTTTTGTTTCAGACTTTTGTAGCGTTTATTCTAATCGCAAACAAATGTCATTATATTGAGTGATGAAATGTGACTCATATTTAATAAACACTATTTTTGTGTTGCATTAAACATAACTTTTGAACTTTCATCACAAAACTTTAATCACTGGTCAACGCATATCAAATGCATTGCCAATGATTGTATGCTTTTATATACAAACTTGTAAAACACCAAAAAGTTCATTCAAACTAAAAATGTTAGGTTTAGTGAAACGTGATTAATGTTTAGCCCTATTATGCTGTACAAAGCACTACTAACTTAGACACTCCCTCCCCCTCTATACTCGCCATGTAATTGGTGTGCATTTAGTGTGTATTGTGTACACATTGTGTACTGCATTGAAACTTTCAATTTGAAAGGCTATCCCTTTAGTGTACTCTCAGCTGTTGTGCTGAACGTGTTATTCATTCATTCATTCAAAACATTTACACTTAAATCTCATTACAATTATAATTTGCCGTTAATTACGACAATAAACACGTGTTTTAATCACTCCTTAAAAGGCATTCATTTGTTTTTATCGGCAAATATTAAACTCATTTTAATTGTCACCCGATTTTGCCGGCGATAACCAAATGTGAGTTGAGTTTCACTTTTATTTATAATTTAAAAGTTTTAATTATGATTACAATTATGTTAAAAATGTGTACAATTGCATCATAACTGTAATCATTGGTTAGTTTGCTGTCATGTCTTCATTAATTACCACATTTTTAATTGTCTTATATTTATTTACATTCAAAACAAATGTTTAATTAACTTTTTTGCCACAATTTAACGCCAATTGTGTATTAAATGATAATTTTTATAACAATTAACTCATTGTTTAATTGAGTGAATCATTTGATTAATCCAATGATTGTTTGTCTTCAGCAGAGGAGACAATGGCGTTGAGAAGCGGTCTATCGATGGCATACAAGACACTCGTGAAGCCATCGATGGCATTGCCGTCGCGGCTATATCTGAGGCCATTGAGCGCCGAGACGTCCGAAGACATGCGCAACAGAATCGACAAATTGGTGGCCAATAATAAAGTGGTTGTCTTCATGAAAGGAGATCCACAACAGCCTCGCTGTGGCTTCAGTAACGCTGTTATTCAGGTGATCATCATTTGGGGCCATAACTGACCTCCACTTTAACCGCAATTGAATCTATTATATCATGTGATTAATTGTCGTTCCCAACCATCAGGTCCTCCGTATGCATGGCGTTGAATACGACGCCCACGACGTCCTGTCCTCCGAAGAGCTCCGCAAAGGCATCAAAGACTACACTTCGTGGCCAACAATACCGCAGGTGTTTATCAATGGAGAGTTTGTCGGCGGATGTGATATACTTCTGGAGAAACACCAAAACGGAGAGCTCGTCGACGATCTCCAGAAGATTGGCATCAAATCGGCTCTTCTGGACACAGAGTTATCCAAAGNGACTACACTTCGTGGCCAACAATACCGCAAGTCTTTATCAATGGAGAGTTTGTCGGCGGATGTGATATACTTCTGGAGAAACACCAAAACGGAGAGCTCGTCGACGATCTCCAGAAGATTGGCATCAAATCGGCTCTTCTGGACACAGAGTTATCCAAAGACCAGAACAAAGATCAGTGAATTCAATACACTTTTTGTCGCCAATAGATTTGAATTCACGTTTACTTATCATTTCATTTAGTCTTTATATTTGTTTAATTTAATTACAAATACTTTTATCGATAGAAAAGCAATTAGAAATTTAAATGATTGAAAATATTACTATATTTTTGGTCAAAAATTAGTCCCATTTTTATTAGCGCTCTAATCATCAGAAAAATATAATCTCTTATTTAAAGTATTCAAATGAAAAGTGAAATTATTTTATTAAAACTTATAAAATAATGTTAATATTGAAATAAATAAACAATTTTACCGGTTTTTAATATCTTTTATTATCTGAATTCATCGCAAATACAGTATTTCCTATTTTAGGAGAACCCGATTTTGGCACATATTTTCTACAACAATCATGAAATGTCAACTTCGGGTCCAATACTGTTTGTAAGAATTAGTGTTTTAATAGTAAAAATTATAATGATTTTAAAAATAATTATTGCATTAAGTGTTCTATTGTTATGAGCGTTAATTTTATTTATTAAATCAAAAAATTTTAAAATTATTATTTAGTTTTTAAAATACATAAATATTTGAAACCAAATCTAACCGTCATTTCATAGTTTCGACAGTTTTTATAAAACAAATATTTTTTCAAAGAAGTAATCAAATAATAGACACAACTGTTGAAGAACTCAAAGATAAGACATGAGTGGAAGCAATGGTTATTTGGGTCATGTCTTCAACGATGACGAACTGTTTCTAATCTTCAAACACATAGATATCGCAGATTTGTTTTCACTGCAAAGAGTGTCCCAACAGTTCCGCAAATGTGCGCAAAAAGCATTGGCGGCGAAGACAGACCTCAGTATTGGAAACACTTTTCTTACTTATTATAAGTTTATGTCCATTGAGTTGATGCCAGTCCTCACGAGTAACTCAACAAATCTTTCGGATCACTTGGAATTGGATTCAATGCTTCAGATCTTTCGTAGTGTTAAGACATTGTATTTAAATAGCGTTACCGTTGACTATGAGGTGATGGAAATGATTGTCAATCGTTTACCACAACTCCATAGCATATACTTGTCGTTGGTTTCCTTCAATCGGTCGGAAGAGAGAACAGTCACCGAATGGACACAACTCTTAGCAAAAGTCACTCGAATTGAGACCCATTTTAGTGACAATGAAATGATGACTTTTATACTGAATATCACACGAGAGTTACCATCGCTTCAAAGTGTAGCTATACATCAATGCGAAATCAATCCCTCATTTCTGGTCGATTGCATACCAAAAGACATTCGGGTTTTAAAGTTAGATCTAATGGTAGAGATGGACACACAGGCCCTCGACGTTGTGATCACGAAATGCCATCAATTGGTGGACATAACTATCCGTTGTTTTGATCTCACTTTACAACAGTTTACAACTATTTGCGATCATTTCCCACGACTTCAAAGACTTGATATTGAATTCGAAACCATTTCGAGCGAAGAGTTGGCCACAAATCTATCAAAATTACACGATTTGAGATATTTTTCGTTGAGATCTTTTCGGATGACTTTTGACACCAATGTTATGATGTCTTCTATAAATCCATTGACTAGTATTCGGTCTTTGAGATTACATAATGTCAACTGTTCGGCCAAATTGTGGACAAAATTGCCAGAACTGGTGCCAAATGTGATCAAAATAACACTAATTAACATCAATTGTCACAAAGACTGCAGTCGTCTCAACGATTACTTCTTTGCCAAACAATGTGTGCATTTAGTGATGCAATCAGTGCTTAAAGTATCGAAACTAAAACATCTGGAAATCGATATGAATTTACATCAGTTTTTGTTAAAGACATTGAATTTATTCAAACCATTGGATTCATTACTTTTACGCAACACTCGATGCAAACCGTCTGAAAACTACAAAACCATTGAATTTATCGATCATTTGTTTCAATTCCTAACCAACACATTGGCCGACAAGAAGACAGTCTTCCGATTATATGTGAGATATTTTCGAGAACTCGAGTTTTTGAGAATTAAATTCAATGCAATGAATGCCGAAATCCCAGACAATGTGCGGATCATTGAATTCAATGAATATATTTAATTCTACTTTCTATTCAATTTAAATTTAAAAATTATAATGATTTTTAAAATGTTTATTGCATTAAATGTTACTCTATTGTTATAAGCGTCGACTTTATTTATTAAACCAAAAAGTTTTGAAATTATTATTTAATTTTCAAAAATACATAAATATTTGAAACCAAATCTAACCGTCATTTCATAGTTTCAACAGTTTTTATAAAACAAACACTTCTTCTGAAAAGTTATCAAATAATAGATAAGACATGAGTGGAAGCGATGGTCAGTCGGATCATGTCCTTAACGATGACGTCCTGTTCCTGATCTTCAGACACATAGATATCACTGATTTCTTTTCAATGCAAAGAGTGTCCCAACAGTTCCGCAAATGTGCGCAAAAATCATTGGCGGCGAAGACAGACCTTAGTATTGGAAGCAATTTTCGTACTAATTGTAAGTTTTGGTCCATTGATTTGATGAGAGCCCTCACGAGTAGCTCAAGGAATCTTTCGAATCACTTGGAATTGGATTCAATGCTTCAGAACTTTCGTAGTGTTAAGACATTGTATTTGTCTTACGTTAAAGTCAACTATGAGGTGATGGAAATGATTGTCAATCGTTTACCACAACTCCAAAGCATATTCTTGTCGTCAATTGCCTTCAATCGGTCAAAAGAGAGAACAATCACTGAATGGACACAACTCTTAGCAAAAGTCACACAAATTGAGATCAATTTTAGTAACAATAAAATGATGACTTTTATACTGAATATCATACGAGAGTTACCATCTCTTCAAAGTCTAGCGATAACTCAATCCGAAATCAGTCCATCATTTCTGGCCGATTGCATACCGAATGACATTCGGGTTTTAAAGTTAGATCTAATGGTAGAGATGGACACACAGGCGGTCGACGTTGTGATCGCAAAATGCAATCAATTGTTGGACATAACTATCCGTTGTGGTGGCACTTCACAACAGTTTATAACAATTTGCGATCATTTCCCACGACTTCAAAGACTTGTCATTGGATTTGAAGATATTTCGAGCGAAGAGTTGGCTATAAATTTATCAAAATTACGGAATTTGAGATATTTTTCAATTTGTTCATCGATGACTTTTGACACCAATGTTATGATGTCTTCAATGCAACCATTGATTAGTATTCGGTCTCTGAAATTAGTTGGTATCGACTGTTCGGCCAAACGGTTGACACAATTGCCGCAAATGTTACCAAATGTGAGCAAAATATCACTACTAAACATCGATTGTCACAAAGACTGCAGTCCTTTCCACGATTACTTCTTTGCCAAACAATGTGTGCATTCAGTGATGCAATCAGTGCTTAAAGTATCGAAACTAAGACATCTGGAAATTAATATGAATTTACATCACTTTCAATTGAAGACATTGAATTTGTTCACATCATTGGATTCATTAGTTTTATGCATGTTTTTTTGGAGCGATGACAAGAATATCATTGAATTCATCGATCGTTTATTTCAATTTCTCACCAAAACATTGGCCGACAAGAAGACAGTCTTTCGCTTATATTTAAGACATGTCAAAGAACTCGAGTATTTGGACCGCAAATTCAAAGCAATGAATGTCAAAATCCCAGACAATGTGCGGATCATTGAATTCAATGAATATATTTAACACTTTTTCTGTCCAATTAAGTATCAAATCTGTTCAAACCTTTAGAAAAGTTTCAAAATTAGATAATTTCACGAATAAATTGTTAATAAAATATGTTTTTAAAAAATGTAAAATTTTTAATTACAAAAACCTTATAATTTCTAAAATACATGGAATGAGAATAAAAAGAGTGCATTGAATGACTCATGAAATTCTTATTTTAATGTTTTATAAAAGTGGCGTAAAAATGAATATTCAGTACACATTGAATGCAATAAAATTCTTAAATACATTATGAAATTAAAGACAAATATAAAAACAATTAAATATAATATGAATGAATTGTTGCCAGACTTATGAATGCAAACGACTACTACTTGTTCTCCTTATTCTTGCGATCAGTTTTGTCTTTTTTGTCGCGTTTTTCCTTCGCTTTGCGGTCTCTATCGGAACCGCTTTTTCCCAACGCTTTCTTCAATTCTTTAGTTTTAGTCTTCTCTTCGCTGATAAATGCGTCCAAATTGGCCGTCAATTCAGTGATGCCTTTTCTGTTGATATTAACGCTATTTTCAAATTTGTCGCTCATTTCTGACAATTCGTTAGAATATAATTTCTGTTTCTCTTCAACTCTAAGAGAAGAAACAAAAAATATGCATTCAATACATGTTTTATGTCAATTGTAATGAAAATATTACTGTTTTTGTAAATCCAATAGATTTTGTTTCACGTCTTTATGAGAGCGCTTAGTATTGCCGTCGAATTCATTGATGAGTTGTCGCGTTCGGTCGCATTCACTCTGAAGAGCGGCCACTTGTGAGACCTGATCCTGAAGTGCGAACAATTCAAATCATTATTAACTCAATTCAAGAGAAATAAACAGTAAATTGTTATCATAAGAGAAATTCTTAAGAAAATGTTAACAAAGAGTAAAAATAATAAACAAAAAAGAGAGAAAAGCATAGATTTAGTGTTGAAACCAAACGTAAACTAACTTTGCGTTGGTTTTCCATATCAGACATCAATTGGGAGACAATTTTCTCGTTTTGTTTCAATTGTTTCTCTTTTTCATTGATAACTAAATTGAATTCATTTAGTTTCTGCTGTTCTGTCAGAGAGACTGATCCCTGAAGTGAACTCAATTGTTGGACAATCGCTATCTTCAGTTCATGCACTTTATGGGAGAAGAGTTTCTCCAATTCGGAGACCGAAGCGCCAGTCGTTTCGCCGGTCTTTATGTTCTTCAGAGCCGTCAAAATCTCCATCCATTCGGGACTTTGAATCAGTTGCCGAAGAGTAG